AACGTCAGCTTTCCTGCTCCTCTGATGCTGCCTGGCCTGCTGTGTTCCTCTAGCTCCACACTGTGTTATCTTTGGGAAAAAGGTTGTAGCCCAGAGAAGAAATGTTCAAGTTTTGGTGAAGACACTGATGCTGATTTTTTTTTTCAGGATCTATAAACATTTGAAGATGGGGCAAATAAAAAAATATCTTACGGGTTGTTTGATTTAAAATGTTACAGATTGCCTTAGGTGCTGTGTTGAAAATGTCATAGCTGTCGGAATGTGTGCAGAGTTTTCAGAGCTGAATGTTTGAGAGTTGGCCTGAACTTTCCTCACTAAGATGTAAACTTTCAATAAAAAGAATTCCTTTTTTCAGCTTTGTAGTTATGAAGCAGAAATTTAGGCAGGGGTAGTGTTGAAGAAGAACTGTGTAATTGTAGAAATAACACAGCGTGATCTAAGTATGCACTCTTCTGAGTGCCTGCTTGTATTTTTTTTTATTTATTCATTCCCAGGAGTCACTGGCAAAACAAGGTGGTGGAAAACTTTATAGTGTTAGCCTTTCAAGATATTTCAAAAAGTGTGTCATAATTTTGATTGTGAAGGGACTGAAAACTGCTATGATGCATGTCTGGGAATGGCTAATTCGACAAAAAGAATTATTATAGAATCCAGGAAATGATCTCAAGGTGATTATTAATTTTGTACCCATGATTAACTCAATTATTTACACTTATTGACAAAGTCAGCCAATATATTGCCTGAGATTGGAATAGCTACTTGTTCAAACTTTGTTAAACCAATTTCAATATAATGCCATTTTTACACATTCTTTTTAGATTTATAAATATGGCATGTATGGAATCAAATGATAGCCCAGAACTGACATTTGTGCCAAAGTTAACTCAATGAATGCAACAAATCAGTTATATTGGACCTTATTGAGCATTTTCTTTAACTGAGCAGCAGCAGAGAAGGGAGCGAGAAGCACGAAGACAGCAGGAGCGTGAGCAAAGAAGGCGTGAGCAGGAGGAAAAACGAAAATTGGAGGAACTAGAGCGCCGAAAGAAGGAAGAGGAGGAAAGAAGAAGGGCAGAAGAAGAAAAGAGGCGAGTGGAGAGAGAGCAGGTGATTTTTGTTGTAGCTCTTCATTTACTTAATCCTGAGCCAAGAATTTGCTGTCTCAGTTTCAAAATGGTATTGTGTGGTAGTTTGAATTTCTTCCCCTCATCTTGGCTATCTGAGCAATAGTTTGGGTCCATAAACTTTTGTGTGACTGTTCACCATACTACTACATGACTGGCAAGAGCTATCCAAGCAAACTGAAACAAACAATGCCACTTTCTTACACTGTAGTGATACAGCAAAACATGTACCCCATTCATTCTTCCATCTAATACTATAACTGAGAACATTCAAAAACATGGCATAAGTATTTTGGCAGTACATTGTCCACTCTCATTTCATTTCTGATTTGCTGTGTTCCTCTCTACTTCATTCTCTGTCTTTCTCCACTGTTTCTTCTCCCCGTATCTCTCGCATCAGATCTTCAGCTTTCCTGCAGTGCTTGTGTTGTGTTGGTCAATATTGAAGACATCAGATGTAAAATTTATAATCCTCATTGCTGTTTCCTTTTTAAAATTTTAACGGTCAAACGTTTTAATACAAGTGGATGTGGCCAAATTCAAGTTTTTGTTGAGACTCTGGGTAGGTTTTTTTTTCAATGATCATATCGTCAAGTTTGCAGTCATTTAAAGACAATGAGCAGCCTTGTCATGACAACTTAAAATTGCCGGTTCAAATCCTGTTTGACATCCCTATACACCGTGTATTTCACACTTCCTGATGCAAATTAAGCTGAGAGCAGCTTTACAACAAGGTGTGAATGGTGTTGCCTTTTTGTATTCATTAGCAATTTGTACATCTTCTTGTTGGTGCATGCCAAATGGTTTAAATAATTGTTAAAGCATGATCCTCTGAGTGTAATCGCTATTACTTTGGTCCTGAGGGCATATCATTTAAATGCTGATATACTCAAATGGCAGATCTGTATTTTCATAATTTAACTTATCTTGTTCAAGGGCATTGCCATGATAAGACTAATACTGGTTATTTTATTACATAGAGCCTTGGTGAGACTGTGCCTGAAGTATGGTGTGCAGTTCTGGTCTCCTTACCTATAGTAAGGTATACTTACCATGGTGGAGTGCAATGAAGGCTCACCAAACTAATTCTTGGGATGGAAGGTTGTCTTGGGAAGAAAGATTAAACAGATTGGGTATTTACTTTTTGGAGTTTAGAAGGAGGAGAGGTTATCTTATTTAAGCATACCAAATTTTTACAAGGCTTCACAAAATAGATCCAGGAACTATATTATCCCTGGCACATGGTTCTAGAACTAGGAGATGCTGTCTCAGAGTAAGGGGCAGGCCATTTAAGCCTGAGAGGGAGGAATTCCTTCATTTAAAGGGTGGTAAATCTTTGGACTTCACTACCATGGGGAGCTAGAAAGATTCAGACATTGCATTTGTTGAAGAGCTTGATAAATTTCTCTATATTAAGGACATTAAGAGATATAGAAATAATGCAAGAAAATGGTGTTGAAATAGAAGACACAGCCTTGATTTCATTGAATGATGGCGTGCAAGGGCCTATTACTCCTGTTTCTTATGCACTTCAATCATAATTGTTGCATTTTTCCATTGTGAAATTGGCTTAGCTTTAGGGTATTGTGGCCCACCAATTATATCATTGTAAAGTAACTGCATGACTAAAGGAATGACTTTCAATAGAATTAGAGAGATCTTATGCAGAAGTTAATTATATGCCTTCACTTTTGTGTGCCTTCACTTTTTTTTTGACTAATTTAGGAGCATAGAGAAGAGATGCAAATATGTCAAAATTGGGTTAAAAAAAATAAACACCAGTTGCGTACCTTTCTGACAAATGGCAACCACATGTTTTTCTTAGCTTATTCAATAGCGCCTTTGGTATGAGTTCAATGAAGCCTTGTACTTTTGCAAGGTCAAGGGAAGCAGCCTCTTAGAGGTGTAGATACACAATTTCTAGTTTAAACTGGTATTTTGCTTACACGTTATTGTGTAATTTTTGCAACAGGAGTACATCAGACGTCAGCTTGAAGAGGAACAACGTCATTTGGAAATTCTTCAGCAACAGTTACTCCAAGAGCAGGCCATGTTATTGGTAACTTATTCGCTCAGTTGTTGTCTGACCAACAGCTTCACTGCTACCTTAGTTCGCTGTGTCACAATGCTCATATTTAATAGCAAGCTGATCAGTCTGTGGGAGGTTAACATAATAGTCCAATAGCTCAACAAAATAGCCTTAGCAAACAATTGTCATTTGAATTGTGTGACAATGATTTAGTGCTTTGTGTCACGAACTGGAAACGTAAGGGCAAGCAGAATTAAATAAAAATTAAATTGCTGCTTTAAATACACCCCTTTCTGTAAAAAAAAAAATCAAATCACTAAAAATGTAAGCTAATATATAATTAAACACCAACCTTTCTCTTTTAGAAAACCTGGTTTGTCATTGTTATGGATGAGGAAAATTTTTAACCACATGTTTCTGTTCTCCCCAAAGTAGTAGTAGTACTGCAGTTTGTGTTTGTGTGGGTGGGTTATAACGTGTTCATTTGGATTATACAAGTCCCCTTCATAGGCATTCATTCAATTACACGGTGCAAATTTGTCAAGGTTTAGGGCCTGTAAAATGGACAGAAAAATGGGCAGCAACATAAATTATATTACTGGGTATTTTTCAAAACTAATTCAAAGTATGAGCATTTTTATTATTTTTGTGACAAAAGAGAAAATTTATATTAAATGTTTAAGAACGTAAGAGAGGAAAGTAAAGGAAGACCACACAACTCCTCCAGTCTCCCCATCATTCAGTTCGATCATCCCTCCTCTTTGGGTTCACCTTTAATTTCTCACCATGTCCACAAGCCTTCGTGCTCTGAGGCATCAAATAACATGTCCAGTATACATGGAGAAACCACAGTTCCCTGAGGTACCAAGTTTCAAAGATTCATAGCCATTTGAGTGATGAAATGACTCCTTGTTTTGGTTCCAAATGATCCGAATCTTACCCTGAATCTGTGTCTCCTTACCTTAGTTTTCACAGTCAGCAGAAATAACCTCAGTGTCAGGCCCCTTCAGAATCTTGTAAGTTTCAATTAAATCACCTCTCATTGTTCTAACCTCCAAGCCCAATTTGCTTAGACTTTCATCATATATCCTAGGGATCAATCTGGAGAGTCTTTGCTGCACTGTCTCCAATTTAAGTGTATCCTTCATTAAATATTGTGACCAAAACTGCAGGCAATATTTCAGGTGTGGTGTCACTAAAGCCGTATGTCATCTTTATTCCTGTACTCCAATCCCCTGATACGAAATGCCAACATGTCATTTGAATTCCTGATTATTTGCTGTACTTTCTGCTCACTTTGTGTTACAATGTGTACCCAGATCCCTGTTAACAGCAAAGTTTACAAGTTTTGTGCCTTTTAAAACATAATCTCTTTTCCGCTCTTACTGCCAAAGTGAGTGACTTCCCAAAATATTCTCCATATCCCATCTTATTGCCTGATCAATTAACCCATATTTATCGCTTTGTAGGCTTTGTGCCCTCCTCTTGGCTTACATTTCAACCTAGCTTTGTATTGTCTGCAAATTTAGACACGTAGCCTCTATCTCCTTGTCCAAATCGTTAATGCAGATTGCAAGTAGCTGAGCCCCTAACACCGGTTCTCAAGGCATTTAATTTAACACAGCCTGCCAACGTGAAAATGTCCTGTTTGTCCTGACTCTCACTTTCCTGTCTGGATTGTCTGTTTACGTTACTGTATTAAATCAATTCCATGAGCCCTTATCTTGTGTATTTAGCTTGATTGTGGCAACTTATCAAATTCTTTTTGGGAATCTAGGTAATAGTACATCCATTAGTTCTCTTTTATCTATCCCTATAGTTACGTCCTGAAAAAGAAACACTAATAAATTTGTCAAAACAGTATTTCCCTTTTATAAAACCATGTTGACTATGTATGGTCATGCTGTGACTTTCTAAGTACACCTAAGTCCATTTGATAAGGCAGGCTGGTACAAAAGGTAGAGTCTCATGGGATTCAGGGTGAGCTGGCTAATGGATACAGAACTGACTTGGTCATAGAGAGTTGTGGTGGAAGGGTGCTTTTTGGAATGGAGATCAGTCACTAGTGGTGTTCTGCAGGGATCAGTGCTGGGACCTTTGTTGATTGTAATATATGTATGAATAATCTGGAGAAAAATGTAGGTGATTTGATTAGTAAGTAAAATCATAGCTAGCACATCCGTCTGTGCAACTGTCTCTATTGGAATGCAAGGACATAGGCCAACAGGTCCTGGGAATTTGTCAGATCTTAAATTCCCAAGTTCCTCCACTAATTTTCCTTTACTGATTTTAATAGCCTTTCATTTCCCACTCTTACTAGCCCCTTGTTTAATGTGTCTTCTGCTGTGAAGACTGGCACAAAATATTTGTTCAGTCTTTTTCACATTTTGCAGTGATGCTTGCAGTGGTATCATGATTTTGATACTCAAAATCAAAGCCTTTTGTTAAAAAAAAATACAGCCTATCAAAATGGGAATGTCTGAAATTGAATGTGATTTTCCTGAATTAAAATTCCACCACTACCACATTAGCTTGGGTTGTATATGGCACTGTTATTTCATGATATGTGCCCTTGAATTTCTTCTCAGCAGAAAATTTGAAGCCATTGTTTGGTGGAAGTTTGATGTGATTTTTCTAATTCACAGCCAGTTATTGATGTCATATCACAATGTTTGAGACAGTGCCTTTGGCTGGCACTAGAAACATTCTCTGTGATCCAGCTGCACATTCACAACTGTTGTAAATTCGTGGCTGTGGTGTAAATTATGCTTTAGGTGACTTTGAAGTATACAAGTTGCCTAATGAGGTGTTTCAGCCACTGTGAAAACGTAGTTACATGCTGGTTTTATGGAATTTGTAATACTATCATATTACAAGCCACATTATAAATTAGAAACTGTAACTTAATATATGTACCATGTTCTTCTAGGAGTACAAATGGCGTGAAATGGAAGAACAGCGACAGGCTGAGAGATTGCAGCGTCAGTTACAGCAGGAGCAAGCTTACCTTCTATCTCTCCAACATGATCACAGACAGCAAGAAAGGAATAAACCTTACCCGGCACCAGAGCCTAAATCTCACTTCGAAGCAACAGATAGAAATAGAGAGGTAAGAGGAGTGATGTTCATCAGATGTTTGTCATAAAAGTCGGCTGGGAGAAAGATGTTCAAACACTTTAGGCATTGCAATTGACATCAGCTGTGTGTTATTATCTAACTTTAATTACTTCCCACTTCTGTACTGAAAATAAGTTAAACTACAGGGTCCCCAACTTACTAACACTTTACTTGCGAACGAGATCCCACATTGCTGTTAATTTTTAAGGATCTGACACGCAAACATCTGCTCATACTTCGAATCATAGAACCCTGACAGTGTGGAAAGAGGCTATTCGGCCCATCGAGTCTGCGCTGACCCCCCAAAGAGCATCCCAGCCAGACAAACCCCCTACCCTATCCCCATAACTGCATTTCCCATGGCTAATCTAGCTAGCCTCCGCATCCCTGGACAGTATAGGCAATTTAGCATGGCTAATCCACCTAACCTGCACATCTTTGGATTGTGGGAGGAAACCAGATCACCCAGCGGAAGCCTATGCAGCCCTGGGGAGAATATGCAAACCCCACACAGACAGTTGACCGAGACTGGAATCGAACCCAAATTCATGGTGCCATGAGGCACTATTGCTAATCATTGAGCCACCATGCCGCCCTTACAAAGGCTACTGGACTGGACTGTGTTCTGACTTGCATGCGAATCGACTTACGAACGTACTCAGCAACAGAACCCACTTGTAACCTGCGTCTGTCTGTACAAGCACTGCTCAGAAAAATAAGGAAATAAACACACTTCTCAAACCACTCTAATCAGAGTGTTCCTGACTACGCATTCCTATTCTCCAAATCGATAGGAATGAACTGTCTGTTAGAAATATAAAAGCTGAAACCTGCTGTAATAATAAACAAAATGTATTGAGATTAAATTTTTAGATGAAAGATGATTCATTGTTTTGACAGTAGATAGTTCTTCAAAATGACTCCTCAGATTTATCTGTATGTACGTGAATCATTAACACCCCACTTCCAATTCCACCTTTAGCTTCTATCTGTTTTACTTTTTACCATTTGGAAGTTGTCACTCAAATTTGGGCATTGGGACTGGGTTTTTCAGCATCCTACTGGCCTTGGAAGGCGGGGTCTTAAAATAAAGTGGGTGGTCTTTTTGCTTGACCCAAACTAACTCCCATGTTATGTTGGGCTCACTGCTACTTCATGAGGCGATGAAAGCTGAGGTAAGATAGGTAGTCTGGCAGCTTTGACCATGTGAGCTACTATCAGGTGAGAAAGTGGAGGTACTACCATTGGGGAAATCCCCTGTGTTCCAAGGAGACGCACCCCGAACGTCAGACCTCTGTCTCCCAATTGTGCCCCCACCCTCTGACTTCTATAAACTGGCCCCTGTCATTCACTCTGGGCCCTCCCACATACATCTGTCCAAAATGTTTGAGTGGCCTCTGAGGTTGAGTGCTGACTCTCCTTCCTCAGGGACTGGTTGCAGTCTCAGCAGTGGCAATCTCAGTCCTGATGCTGCTGGGATTACAGAGCTACTGGTCAGTGTGGCAGTTCATAAGGATAAAATGTTTTCCCAGCTGAGGGTGAATATCTGACTCTGAACCAATAAACGCCATCCCCAGCTTATTGTCACTGCTGACTTGTGAGTTGGCAGACTCGAAACTAATTTTTCTTCTGCCTTATGATATCGTATGTGGCTCAGTTGACAGCACTGTTATCTCTGAGAGTCCAAAGGTTGTGAGTTCAAGTCTTCACTTGACGCTCCAGTACCACGTGCCAGAGATGTTGAAATGTGATGTTGAACTGAGACCCTCTCTTTCCTCGCTGGACATAAGAGAGCCAATATACCACCTGGACATGAGCAGCAGAATGATCCTTGGCATCACAGCCAATACTTATCCCTCAATATGTATCACCAAAACAGATTATTGTATCTTTGTCACATTGCTATTTATGGGACCTTGCTTTATGCAAATTGACTGCTGTTTCCTACATTGCAAAAGTGATTACCCTTCAAAAAAGTATTTAATTGCATACCAAGAATTTTGAAGGTTTCAGAAGTCATGAAAGGAGCTACATAAATACAAGTATTTTTTCTTTATATATAACTGCTGTTTGATGAACTATATAAAACATTCCCAGTGGGTTTTCCTCACAAGAAATTGAGAGTCAACACTCAATTCAAATACAACACCACCACAGCTCTCTGTTCTCTGTGTAATTCTAGGATAAGCTATTGGATATTGGCGAGAAGCCAGGCTCCTCATTCTTTTTTAATTTGTTCCCCCCTCTCTCTCTCAAAATTGTTAAAGCCAGTTGAAGAACCACTGCCAATTTCTTGGCTGACCTTAGTGTAACACAGACTAGGCATTGGGTTGAGCAGCTTGATACCGTGTGAAGTTTTTTTTTTGCTTGTGATTTTTTTCCCCAATGTTGTCTTTCCCTTCTATCCTTTCATAAAATTAAACCTTGATTCTGGTGGGTCTTCGTGAACAGTTGTACCAAGTGACATTACCATGGACTTCTGTGGAAGCAGAGATCATGGGTTAGGTAGGTGCTGTGGAAGAAACTAGACCAAATATTTTAGAGAATGTCGCAGACTGTACATATTCAGACAATGTTCTGAAGTTGGACAGTGCACATGTTTAAGGTGGTGGTGGGGTTCAGATCAAGCAGGATTCTTTGTTCTGAATGGTATTGAGTTTTTGAGTGTTGGAAGTACCATCATCTAGGCAAGTGGACAGCAGTCCATCATATATCTGACTGATACCTTGTAGATGGTGGACAGACTTTGGTTAGTCAGGAATTAAGTCAATTGTCACAGATATCCCAGCCTTGAATGCAGTTGTAACTGGAATATTTATGTGGTTGTGGGAGTTCACTTCTGGCACCAGTGAAGCTGTTTGTGCATCCGTTAGAGTATATGGCATCAACCCCTAGTTATTCCATATCATTTTGACATGTCCTAACTGATATGTCTAAGTATTCTGGAAAATTCCAAATCCTATCAATACTTAACTAAAAGAACGATGTCTGGCTCCACCATATTTGTTGGTATTTAAAATGCGTTAAAGTTCAAAGTAACCATACAAATCTAACCTACATAGGATTGTTATATACTTTAGTTACAAAACTAAACCAATTTAAAACATAGCTGTGTCTTTGAATAAAAGCTTTTTACCTCCAAGCAATTGTTATTTGTTAGCCTATGTTTACATTAACTTGGGTCATCAAGAAAGTAATAAAACCATCAACTTTACTTTTGACCTAGATTTTATGGCTGTTCTTTCTTACAGAACATGTTTAACCATAATCAAACAGAATATAATTTAATTCTTCACTGGCTTAATTAAATCAATTACGTTGAAATATAACTCAATCCTATAGTAAATTATTGCCGGGTCAGGTGGTGAGTCTGTTATTTGACATCACTGATGACTCCTTTTGTCACATTTCTAGTTTTCTAAAAGCTCAATAGCTAGCTAGATTAGATTTATCCAGCTTTTTGTTTGGGCATGTCCTATGCATGCAATCTTCCACACCTTTGTCTAGGTTACGGGGAGGCAATGGCCTAGTGGTATTACCACTGGATTGTTAATCCAGAGACCCAGATAACATTCTGGGGATCCAGGTTCGAATCCAGCCACAGCAGATGGAGGAATTTGAATTCAATAAAAATATCTGGAATTAAGAATCTAATGATGACCATGAATCCATTGTCGATTGTCAGAAAAACCCATCTGGTTCGCTAATGTCCTTTAGGGAAAGAAACTGCTAGCCTACATGTGACTCCAGACCACAGCAATGTGGTTGACTCTTAACTGCCCTCTGGGCAATTAGGGATGGGCAATAAATGCTGCCTCACCAGCAACGCCCTCATCCCATGAATGAATAAATTTTTGTGTTCAGGTCTTCATTATGGCAGCCAAACGGCTGTCAGTGCCTTTTTAACATGTCCAGAGTACATATTGTTTAAAGTAACAATGATTGATGCTCATTAACTGGTCATTAATATCTAGGATAGGAGTTTCAGGAGGCTAAATGGTGAGTTTACACACTGAAACTTTTGGCTCAAGACGTGCAAGCACTTAGAAGAACAAGGCATCAAGGGATATGGAGAAAAAGTGGGAATAGGGCATTTAAACAGAGGATCAAACATGATTTCATTGAATGGTGGAATAGGCTTGAAGGGCCAAATGGTCTACTCCTACTCCTAGTTTCTATTCTTAATTTCAGAGAAAAAGGCCAATCTACTCAATTTCTTGTCATTGCCTCTCATCCCAGGAATCAGTCCAATAGGCCTTTCTTGCATGCTCTCCAAGGCAAGTATATCCTTTGATAAGGAGACCAAAACACACTATTCCAAGTATGGGCTCATTAAAGTTCTATTTATTGGTAACAAGACATCTGTAACTCTAATGCTGCGATCACCCTTAAATCAAAGCTGACATGCCATTTGTTTTCCTAATTACTTGCTGCACCTGTAGATGAACTTCAATTTGTGTACAAGGGTACACACGACCTTCTGTATCCCAGCATTTACAACTGTCTCTCACTTCTAAAAAATATGCCTTTTCATTTTCCAAACCAAAATGGTTGATTTCACATTTTGCATTATACTATATCTGCCACCTCCTTCAGTCACTTAGCCAGTTTGTATCACTTTACAGACTCGCCTGTCTATCCCTGACAGCTTGTTTTACCTTTTTGTGGTCACTTAACTCAAATTACTCTTTAGACCTTTCAATCTATGTGATGGAGCAGCACATATGTTAAATATGCTAAGCCTTCAGGGAATTTGTGCATGCTTAATTATCTCTCATGTGACATTTCTATTTTATCAGAATAATTTCTCTGGGAATGCATGTACTAAATTTTAATCTTGTATCCAGGTTGATGAAAGGTTCAAGAAGAGTAACCAGGGTTCACCTCAAGCACAATCAAAACAGAATAGCAAAATTTTGGAGCCTCCAGTGCCTTCTAGATCAGAATCATTTTCTAATGGAAGTTCTGAATCCAATCCAGCTGCAATGCAAAGGCCCATGGAGTCACAGGTACAGAATCAAAAGCAGTTATGTACATTAAGACATATGACACACTGCCTGAGTGGGGTAATTTGTACACATTAGATGAGTTATTTTTTAAAAATGATTGGTATCACATTTCCAAACATTAATTCCTCCACTACTGATGCTCAGCATCAGCCGTATGTACCATTTACACTATGTGCTGCAGATATTCACTAAATCTCCTCAGGCAGAACTATCCAAGCCCACAACCACCACTATCTAGAAGGACAAGGGCAGCAGATGCACAAAAATACCACCACCTGCAAGTTCCCCTGCAAGCTGTTCATTTGTCCTGACTTGGAAATATATTGTTGTTGGGTCAAAATCCTGGAACTCCATTCCTAATGGCATACCAACAGCACATGGCCTGCAGCAGCTCTAGAAGGCAGTTCACTTATACCTTCCAAAGGATAATTAGGAATAGGCAACAAATGCTGGCCACATTCCTGCGAATGCATAAAAGAATTGTGTAGGCTGATGGCAACCTCTGAAGGTTGCTGCTGGTCCTGCCCTTGCTGAAGTATCTGTTCCTCTTCCATTTCTATTGTTTAAAAAAAAAAGTTGCTTTCCTGCCATATCCAAAAGTTATTTATGGAATTGCCTGATCTTTTATTCTAGGTTTATTTGTTCAAATAACACTACCTACTGATTAAAATTAGCCTGGACTCTGGACAGTTAATGACTTCTGATATTCCACTTCATTTAAATACCTGACAACCACTTAAGAAAGTAAATTGCATTTTACTTTGAGTAGATTTTCTGACAATGCCATTTAAAGTAGATCATCCTTCTTCGAGCATATTGTGTATCTCAGGCTGCATGGTGAAATGATTTCATAAAATGTAATAGAAAATATGCTGAGGTCTGTGATATAACAGAAAGTCAGAAAGTGCCTCAAAGGGTAAGGATTCGGTAGAAGGATATATGTGTTGATTGTCAGACTTATAAATTACCTTCCCTAACAATATTCCTGTTACCTGATTTGGTATCTCTTACTGAGGCAGAATTTTAGTATGTTATACAGTTGTCACAGTTTTATTATGAATTCTGTATTCTAGTTTCTAGCTTTGTTAACATCTAACAAAAAAAATCAGTGTGGATTTCATCAACTTATTGTCTTGTTGACTTAAGTACAGTACTTAACACCAAATGCTACTGAATGAATTTCCCATTAGAATTGTAATATCTTCATATTGGGGATGGAGAAGATTATTCATACCAATTTCATAAGGGCAGACAGAATTCACAGTAGATTCACAAAAATGACGATCATAAATTTGCAGTGGATTTGAATGTCAGAATAGTTTGAATTGAACTCTGGTCCTCATAAACTGGCGGTAAACAACTGTCCATCTCCTACAATTCCAGAATTTACTTGAGCCAACATCATCCAAAATAAAATTTCTTAATTTTGTAATAATTGAAAACTTATTGGAAATTAGTCCACTATGGTATTGGTAAAAATAGTTGAAAATGATTTGTCTCATGTTAAACAAGAATAGTTAAGTATTTAAAAATACAAAGTTGTGTTTTAATTTTAGTATCTATAGCACCTGTTACTGAGAAATGAATCTAGATCATTTTCAAAAATCCTTGTGTTAATTTTGAATATGACAGACCTCATAGTATATTGTATTTAGGCATCCTGATTCCATCTTTTTGAAGATTTATGTTCTGCACAGTTCATTTAATAAACTATATTTTTAACAGTTTTTTTAATTTTAATGTCACCAATTCTTCCACCTACCACCAATGACCACAATAAACTTGATCTTGGTGTTTGGAATCTGTTCCCTAAATATTAAAGGTAAATGTTATTTGTGTTTCATCAGTTTGGATAGCATATTGAATATTTCTGTCGCTTTAAGGTTCCAATGAGAGCCACACCTCGATCCCCTGTGTTGTCTCGTCGGGATTCTCCATTGCAAAGCAGTGGTCAACCAAGTGTTCAAAGTGGTCCAAAAAGCTCCACGAGGTATGGATCTTTGCTATATTTAATAGTTTAAAGCAGGGGAAAAAATCATGGAGAAAAGCTGCCTACAGACATGAGTGAAATATGACTGTACTCTTATTACTACTTAGAGCATACAGAACTCAGTTACAGACTATTTTGTAACTAGCTTCCATTTCTTTCTCTAAAGAGGAAAATGAGTTGTTCTAAACTAATTGCCTTAATATGCTTCAGAGATAGTAGGAACTGCAGATGGTGGAGAATCTGAGATAACAAGGTGTGGAGCTGGATGAACACAGCAGGCCAAGCAGCATCAGAGGAGCAGGAAGGGTCTAGACCTGAAACGTCAGCTTTCCTGCTCCTCTGCTGCTTGGCCTGCTGTGTTCATTCAGCTCTACACCTTGTTATCTCTTGCCTTGATATGCTGTTAGCACTTGTAAGTTTTATTGACAGCTGATGAAGAAAAGGATCTGTGAATTCATTAAGTCATAACAATGCTAATTTCAAGCTGCACAGAGACCCAAGGAAAGGAAAAAGTACTAAATAAAATTAGCATAAATTAAACTGAAGCAGAACAATGTTGTTGACAAATATAATGTCATTGATGCCTTTAATTCCCTTGACAATAAATTGTTGCAATAAATTGCTCGTTGGTGATATTCACGAGAGTTAACAAGTTTACCACAGGGGAAAATCTGTAGAAAATAGTGACTATAATTTTTGCATGTTATGTTTTGCTCAAAAGATGTAAACTGAAAGCTGCTGCGTCTAGTTATCCGTTTGCCCTCTGCTGGGCACTACATATCATGACTCTTGGTAATTCATCACAAGGTACTAGTTTGAACGGCCCACACAGCATCCACAAGGGAGAATTAAGGAGCGGATATATTTGCAAGAAGAAAATCTATGACGAGGAAAATTTAAAAATAAATTAATTTTATTTTAGTTTTCCCAATCTCAAGAAATACCATATATTAAGGAATCTGTGAACATTTGGATTTCAGTGTGTAGGGAGGGTTCAGTTATGCAGCATTTGAAATGTTTTGTTTTTGTATCATAAAATACTGCATTTAGAGTCTCATTCACAGACAGTGAATTGGTATAAATGGTGCAGTATCAGTGGGTTTGATTATACAGGCAGTCTGGGAGTTTTTAGCTGTTATCAAAGAATGAACTAACTAAATATTTCAATTTCTAGTACACAATCTTTCCTTCTTTTGTGTGCTCTTAATGACCTAAAGGTTGTATTCTAACTATGACTGCTTTATATTTATTTAATCTATGGATATTATGTTGCACAGGCCACCTGCGAAGAGCTGAAGCTCTTTATTTAAATAACTTTTTTCTGTAGCAATATAGAGCCAAGACTGTTGTGGGAGAGGGTGGAGAAACTCGTACCAAGACCAGGCAGTGGCAGTTCCTCAGGCTCTAGCAACTCTGGCTCACAGCCAGGATCTCATCCTGGCTCTCAAACTGGATCTGGTGAACGCTACAGGCTACGATGTGAGATTTTCCTTTCTGAATTATTTAAGTGCATTGTACACTGTTTTGCTCTCTGCTTCCTTGAAGAACAGATTCCCTTGGTCATATTGATTTTAAAGAAGAGGATGAAAGGTTCACCAAGTGAAAATAGATATAGTTTTCAGATGGTTGGTTTTATTTACACAAACATGGGAATACACGTTTTACTTTGAAGAATAAAACCTGTAGACGTCCACTGCAAGTTACTCTAATACTGGAGGCCCTCTAGCAATTAATATTTGGATGCAAAGGAAATTGGTTCTCTTTCAAAAGTAGTCATACTTTTAAACAATTTTTTATTGTTAATATTGTTGACAACACAATAATTGCATTCAGTTTAAGCCACTGTATCAGTCTGTGAAGTAAATGTGGACAAGTACAGCAAAAGTTTAAAAATCGGCAAAAATTTAACTATATGTTGTGACACTGACCTTGCCCAGGCTCAAATTTGTAAATCTGCATGATCTTCAATCTGTTATTATAATGTAAGTTAATTTCATTTTTGTGCCTTTTAGGTGTCTGGAATTTACAGGTTTGTGTGCTTACTGAGAAATTTTGATGTTTAGTGCTTCAGTACTTAGGTTTTTGATTTAAATGTTTTCTTTACAGCATCATCAAAGTCTGAGGGTTCACCGTCCCAACGCCATGATAATCTTAACAAGAAGGCAGAGGAGAAAAAGGACTTCAGGCCAAATAGACCAGCTGTAAGCTTTTAAAGCTCACTTACTTTCTTGTAGATTCATGTTTCACATTTTCCAAACCGCAGTCCATATAAAGTTAATGTTCAATTTCTTGAATAAACTTCATAGAAATTAAAGACAAATTTTAATTTTTAAATTAAATTTACATTTATGGCACATCTAGTTCTTTAACTTCATGTTTATGGATTTGCATGCTCCCAGTTGGATATTGAAAGACAGTTTATGAAATTATTTATCACAAATACTATTACAGTAAGTGTAATAGCAAATATATTTCCTCTTTTTAGAAACAAAATAATATGGTAGAAATTTGTTTGTTTATGGTGGTTTTTTCTTCTTTCTCCTCCCCTTCAACCCTATTGATTTGACCAATGATGGCTCATGACTCAATCACATGACCTCTCATGGGTTGCTGAATGTTGTAGGGGGATGTGGTAAGATATGCCATTTTAGCAGTCTTGTGTTTGCTTGCTCTTTTAGTTGCACAAATTGATTTATTTGTTAAAAGTCATGTGTATGCTTTTGTGGGATTCCAGGGCGTATTTTTATTGAACAATATATTCTGAGTTTTTGGATCATGCGTGTGTTGGTTTCTTACTCTGCAACATTTTAACTACGTTTATTGCAATTTGAACAATTTTGAGTACAAAACATTAGAGTTAATAAACTCTAAATTTAATAGCAAACATTTGATTCCTTTTGGATGTTTTTGTTGAGGATGACTATTTATCAAAGGCTGAAGATATAGGGATATAATAAGTTTGACTTATAATAAGGAGAGGTGTGAAAAATAAATATTTTAGTTGAATAAAATAAATGTTTCACCTTGAACCCTATGACTTTACATTGTTTGAGATATTTTATTTAGACCAATCGTTTATGGTTGTAACTTTTGGAATGGTGCAGAGTGCAGCAAATTGATGAGAAAGTTGCATCAAGTCATGCTGACTTAGGCAGAATATTATTTTTGATGCTGGGTGAAATGCGATGAAGTTAATGTAAATCAAGACTATAGATCATTTTTTTGGCACTTTTCATTAAAAAAAAATGCTTGCATTGAAAAGTAAACGATTTGGTTTCCCTGGCCGCTATAACTAACAGTTACGATGGAATTTGCGTCTGGTTGAATGCTGCAATTTTCAGTTTGACTATTTTGTGAAATAATTTTGGCCTGTTGTATAAATTTAAACTTAAGTTCAGTGCCATTGTCTGTCTTTATTTCATCTGTCCGTTTTAGAATGTTTTAACATCAAATCAGGTTTCATGTATTTCTAAGATGCATTTATACCTTTTACTGCCTGAATTCACTTACATTAAGACTTCTTGCTACTGTTGCCTCTCCTTCACCTCTACATTTCAGTTGGCTGGCTGGTTTATTGCTTGCTTAATTTACGGCAAAGTTAAACTGTCTGGTCTTGGAAGTGGTGTTCTTCTAATATTTTACTTCAACAAGAATATCCATATTATGTACAGTAGTAAAATTTGAAACTGGCATGAAATATATTTTGCAGCTTTTTAGAGTTTCACAGTCTATTGTTTAAAATGTCATTGTTTTTGTTCAGCATAAACACTGAGCCTAAATAGTTGACCAGTAACCTCATTTCTTAGTTTCAGGATCTTGCTGCTTTGGCTAAAGAGCTTCGAGCTGTAGATGATGTTCGACCTCCTCAAAAAGTTACGGATTATTCTTCATCAAGTGATGAATCAGGAACTACTGATGAAGAAGATGAGGATCTGGAACAAGAAGGGACAGATGAAACCGGACCGATGTCAGATGATGCTCAGGCAGTGTATGTAATCTTAGTTACCAACAATGGTGAAAATAATTTATTTGTGTGACTTGGACCGTGAATTGAAAGTGCTCTAAACGTAGGTCCTGTGGAACTCAGCAGAGTTGTTATTTTGAATGTCTCTAAGGCCCCTTTCTTTGCCAGTGTTTTTTTTTAATAGAAACTTAGTTAGAATATTCTGACACCTTACAGCAGAGAAGTAGGTCATTCAGACCTTTGCTATAGGTTGTTTTCTTGTAAAAGTGACACTCTGGCCTTTTGTGCACAAACACTGTAAATTAGTCCCCTGAATAAATGCCCGATGGTTTTTGAAATTTCGTATATAATCCACCTCCATGACCCTTTTCTTTGTGGGAAAGAATTTCTCCTCATTTTCCCTGATTCTTTTGCCCACTGCTTTAATCTGTGATCTCTACTTACTGACCAACATGCCACAGAAAACAGACAAGTGGACATAAATTATCAAAACCTTTGTATAATTTTTTAATATCTCCCTTTGATCTGCTCTGTCCTGAGGAGATCAAACTTGTTTTCTCCAATTGCTGCGCATGGTACAGTTCTGTTAGGCATTCTTGGGTAAGACAGTGCTCAAAATTGAGACCTTTGAATTAATTACTGAATAACATTGTGTTAAAGCAGAGACAACTTCAACTATTAATACGCATACATTCCCAGGCTTCTGTGTTCCTAACATTATTGAAATTCTATTATTCGGTTTACATTTCAGTGGGAAGAATAGAAGGAAACGATAGCTCACTTCAGTTTCCTGCAGTAAATTTAGCCTATGTCTGGCCGTTTCTGTCTTCTGTCTACATTCTCCTATAGCCTCACCAATTTCTTACATTTCAGTTTTGACATCTGCAAACTTTGACGTTTTGAACTCTGCATGCGCAAAGGTAAATTTGCCATACAAGACCATAGGGCTGCTCTCTTGTTAGAGAAATGGCTGGTGGTGGTCTAACCTGAGAGTCACCACGCCTGAAGTGAGAGGAGAGTCATAGATTTATACAGCATGGAAATAGACCCTTCAGTCCAACTCATCCTAAACTGATCTAGTCCCATTTTCCAGCATTTAACCAAGATCCTTCTAATGCCTTCCTATTCATGTACCTATCCAGATGCCTTTTAAATGTTGTACTTATACCCTCCTCCTCTACCTCACCTGGCAACTCGTTCCATACACACACCACCCTCTGCGTGAAATTGTTGCCCCTCCAGTCCCTTCTGAATCTTTCCCTTCTCACCTTAAACCTATGCCCTTTATTTAGAGGAGAGACCTTCCTGGCAGCCTCACCCAGTACAAGGATTAAACCCTCTCTGTGTTACTCTGCATCACAAGCTAACCATCCAGCTAACTGTGGCATGTCTTTCTGTCAAGTAAAATACCTAAAGCCTTCAGAAAGCCAATTTACTTTCATTCATCAATTGCAGTAAGCTGTAACTTCTACCAATAGCTAAGAAACTTTACAGTTAACGTACCAATCACCTGTGCCACCCATGAAGTGAAAGAACCTGAAGAAGAGAAATTGAAGAACAGAAATTCCAGGTGAGAGAAAGGTTCATCTCGGTGAAAGATATCACAGTGTGGAGCTGGAGGAACACAGGCCAGGCACATCAGAGGAGCAGGAAAGCTGATATTTCAGCCCAGGACCCTTCTTCAGAAGCCTGATTTAGATTGGGACTTTGAGTTTTAACTAGTAGAGTAATATGTTGACTTTTCATAGTTTCTAACTACAGTTAAACTATCTGTAACAAATAATCATTCTTGTTAATTTGGAAATCTGGTGATTGTTTTGTGTGTTGCCTGAGCGTATCTGACTGGTAAATTGCTGACTTTGAATACATTGATCAATTTTTTAAACTTTTGTGATGTCTCCGTGAATACTGGGACTTGATGTCCAGTGCACTAGCCCAGTGAGGCGTGTCTCTGCTTTATGATCCTTATCCAATTGCATCTCCACTTTTGCTGCGGTTCTTTTAATCCCATTGCCTTAATTTTGGTCACAAATCTATCATATAACTTCATAAAACAGGGGGTTCTGCCAAAACACACATTCTGGTAATGGGAAGTAGCTATAACGTGACTGATGAATAGGGAACACTATTTCTAAAACGTGAACTTGTGTTGGCTATAACGCGATTCCATTGGTGACCTTATTGTTGATGTTTAGGAAGATGTTTTCAGAAAGTATTACAGGAAAAGAAATTTGGATTTCAAGATTCTTCTCATCCTGGATAATGCATCAAGCCATCCTCCCATCATTGGTGAGTTTTCTGAAAACATCAAAGTGCTATTTCTACCCTCAAACACAACCTCTCTCCTTCAACCCATGGACCAGGGTGCAAAAGCAGCTTTTAAAGCTTATTGTTTAAGGCGCACGTTTAAGAGGCTGGTTGCAGCCATTGAGGGGACAGTGTTCTTTAATTTTGGAAGAGCTTTAACATCAAGAATACAATTGATATTATCATAGAGGCCTGGGGTGATGTCAGTAAGGACTACTTGCATGCAGTTTGGTGGAAGCTTCTACGGGATTTTTTTCAAGGTTTTAAAACCTTTGTTCCGTCAGAGGAGCTCCCAAGAATCAAAGAACATTGTGTGATCTTGCAAAGCAAGTTGGATTTGAAGAAGTGGAGAGTGAGGATGTTGAAGAGCTGCTTGAGTCCCACTGTGAAGACCTCTCTACAGCTGTCTGCAACAACTTGTCACTGAGGGGGTTGTGGAAGCTGGAGATGACGAAGATGAAGTCCAGGATGCAGCACCATGAGAGCTTTCCACTTCTGTTTTGTCTTATATCCTGAGGGAAATTGAGAAGCAGTTGCAGCTCTTAGAGGACAACGATTATAATGCAGAATGCAGCAGGGTAGCAGTTTGTGGAATAAGATCTTATTTGGCACCCTATGACCAGCTTCTTCATGAAAGAAGAAAAATGGCAAAGCAGCAATAACTGGATGTCATTTTTAAGCCAACCACCAAGAAACAGTCAGAAGACGATGAGCCACCCCACCAACTTCTGGATTAACTATTTTTCTCCCTAACCCTAAAACTATGTCTGCACCTGAAAGTGGTGATGATGATAATGACTCTCACCCCCTGCATTAATAACAGCAACCTCAAAAGCCTTCTCCCCGTCAAGTCATCTTGACAGTTTTCCAAGATAAGGTGTTAAAAGTACTTTTATTTCATTATTAGATAAGAATTAAACATTTATTCAAACTGTGCTGTCCCTTGTGTTACGCTTTTGAGCGATTGAGTTTTTTTTTGGTGATCTGCCCCAACCCCTATTTCCATTGGACCCTTTATTTCCAAAGCACGATTTTCTATATATCACGATGTTGCACAGGAACATAACGAAACGTTATAGCAGAAACCCCCCCCATATGTAATATACATACTTAGTCGCACACTTTTGGAAGTTTGTGTAAGCAATATCAATTACATTACTCTCAACAAACTCTCCCCAATATCTCAGCTAAGAACCCAATCAAATCAGTCAAACACAAAATTTGATTTTAACAAATCCTTGCTCACTTTCACAGACTGTGTGTACTTTTTCAAATGTCAGTGAATATTTTCCTGGGTTGTTGCAGAACCTTTCCCAATACTAGCGCTTGGCCAACTGCTCTGTAGTTGCTAGGATTTTTCCTCCTCCTCCTTTAACTGTTTCAACATTATTACAGTTTGCAACAGCCCTTCTCCCTGTCCTCTTTCACTACCCACACATTTATGGAGTTTTGGAAGATTCTGGCCAATGCCTCTACAATTTTAATCTTCCTTTCATTTGTAATGTAGAACGTATCCTATCAGATGGGGTGGTATTATCTCCTTTTATACTCCCAATATCTCTGTTGTTTCCTCCTTTATTGCTACACTGGCAGCACATTCCTCCTGAAAACCGATGCAAAGAAGTAGTTCACAACTTCAGCCAATGCATCTAACTCCACTGAAGATCTTCCCCTTGGGCTCAAATTACCTTTGACTGACTATTTATTGTGTTGCATCTTTTTCATATTTGCTGACATTGCAGCATTAATATGGCGTAACAAAATAAGTTGAAATGTTGTTACACAGGTTTGGAGTATGAGTGACTATAAATGGTCTGAGCTTCAAATTGGATTCTGACTTCACAATTTACCTGAATTTCCAAAACTTTCTCAGAATTACATGCTGTATATGTCTGCATTTTTATCTATCAGACCTTCAAAGCTGAGCAATGGCGAAACTGAATCTGTGAATACAATGATTGTTCATGATGATCTGGAGCTGCTGACTGAAACTCCTGTTACTCCCTCTAAAGATGGCACTTTAATTGTTCGACAGGTACCGTGTTTCAGGCAGAAAGATCTGCCTTTTGTCTATTAACTCTTACTGAGCAGTATGTTTTCTGCTATTTTTCATGTTAGTAGCTTAGCAATTGATATAAATTTATCAGTTCTTCAGTATAGTTTTCCTTTCTTTTATTTAGCACAAAGGATGCTCTTATTTCTTCTGTTCACTGTAGTTGTCTTGCATGTGTTACTATGTTCGTCATAAAAGTTAAACCTTGAGTTTAGATGGACAGGAAGTGACTGCAGAGAAAAATGATAGATGCATAATGTTCATTACTAAAGTTTGACGCCAGTTCATAATGTTTTTAAATTAAACTAACCTGTCTGTAAGTCATCATCCATGCAAGTGTTTTACTCTAACTTCAGACTTTTTTTTTTAAAAAAAACTAAAACCTCACATTTGTAGCCGTAGTCAGGTAATTCCATTTTTAACTCTATTAAGCAGCATTGCTACAAAAATGGAAACATTTACAGAATGACATATTGATTCTCCATACTACATTCTCTTTAAATTCCATTACGTTAGTTATTACAAGCAATTTAAATTATTAATTACCCAACAGCACATCAAATTCATGTTGTAATGTTTGTCACTTTTGGAATATTATAATGCTTTAGATCAAATTAACATCTTACATTTCCATCTGAGAAGAGCTTTAGGATTTAGGTAACATGCAATTTTTTTTTAATTGAAACCACTGCTGAATTTATAACTAGTCTTTGTTCTGCCTGGAGTAATGTGAAGTGCTTATCTATTGAAGTGGTTTTGTCAAATTATACCAAATTTAATTGCTTGTTAGAACTAGTTGTGCTGAGATAAAAGCTGCAAAATCCAACTTTGCGTTAACTCTTCTGCCAATTAACTGTTAGGGTGATAGGTATTCAAGCAACTCTTCAGCAAGACAAGTATGCCTGTTTTTTCTACAGAGCGCAGGTGAATTAAAGCGTGCCAGCCACCATGAGAGTAATGGCTTTGCAACCCGCATTCACCTCTTGCCAGATCTCATACAGCAAAGCCATTCCTCCACCTCCCCAACCAGCCAGCAGTCTCCCATCATGTCCCCTCAGCTGCCCCCGGACGAGCTCACTACTAATGAGGTATGTTTGACACGATAGCCGGCTGCTGTTCTGGCATACCACTCCTGTAAATTAGTTAGTCACAACAGCACTCCAGTCAATTTCAATGCTTCTCATCTTTAACTTTCAGTGTGTGTCAGTTCTACACTGCTCTTGTCTAAAATACTAAATCCTCTTACAAAGGTAGAATGTTTTGATTCCAAAACTTGCCAGTTAATGAATATTATTAAGTTTGATTTGTAAAATGAAAGAAAGCTTCAGTAGAATAGATGTTCACTATTGCCATCAATTTAAGAAAGCTGACTAATTTGATTTTCAGAGTTTTTTGAATTGGTCTTGAAATTCTAAATGTATTTTTTCTAAGGACGTGAGCATGAAATGTAACAAACACAACTAATTCAGAAATATCCTATTCTGACAGTAGATGTGATTGGCACACTCAAGCTTTACGAATGGTAATTTATCACTTGTTGCAGATTTCCAGTTAACTGCGATACAGTTGTGAGCAAAAATGGTGAAGCTGATGTAATGTCAAGTTATCCATGTGCTTGTCTAGATCTTACTGGGGAAAGTAAGCTAGATTTTATTCAGCAGAATGACAGATAGTTGTTTACATGAATCAAAATTTCTCATTCATGCCCTCCTCCAATTCATGACCTCCTCCAATTCATGACCTGATCCATCTATTATATTATTATAAAGGTAAAACATCCTGACATTTCAAAGGTATTGTATCATTGGAACTGTGAGTTAATGCAATCTGACCTTGTTACATAAAGGGAAAACACTCAGTTCAACGTTTGCAATCAGTAAGCATTAAAATAAATTGTTTTTGTTGCAAGTTTTAAGACATTTCAAAAATTAAAGTCCCACGCAATAGCAAAAGGTTTAAAATAAGCCTGATTGCTTCATGCATGCATCCCAAAATTACTCCATCCCTTTATTCCCGCCAACAGTGAGGCAGAAATTGAATATCTTATGTCATTCTTGCTCTTTCATGTACATATGCCTCAGTTCCCCCTCCAATCACCTTCTCTTCCTTTTCCTCCCTCTCCCTGTCCCTTCCCCTACCCTATCCCTCCCTTCCCCACCTCTCAAACTCCCGCCCTCCTACCCCATTTCCCACATTACCACACTCCATGCTCTTTCATCATTTTCTCCTGTCCCATTGCCACACCATCCTTGCCCCCACTCTCCAGTCCCATCTTTGCCCTCCTTTCTTTCTTTCTCCCTGTTCCCAACCCCCCCTCTCCTGCTCCCTGTTTGCACCCCGCCTTTCCCTCTGTGTGTCTGCTACACCCTTGTCTCCATCTCTCCGCCTCTGTCCGCCCCTTCTCTCTTTCTCCCTTTTGCGTGCTCTCCTCTTGTCTGCCCACCCCATCTGGGATGAGGTCCATCAGGATGTGTGAACCTGTCAGCCCACAGGTCCAAAACTTTGCTTAATACCACATCCCCGCAAATAGTAATTTTCCTGTGTTTCCTCTCCCATCCATTTCCTGATTCACAATTTTTGTGGAGAGCGCCTGTTGTTCTGGGTTTCTCCATTAGAGGACATAAATTATTGCAGCCTAGCTTATTGATTTAAAAAAAAATTAAATTAAGCTACCTTTTGACTGCTGCAGTTCAATGATATGTGTGCCTTTCTCAATTTATCCTTTAAATCCCTAGTATAATTTCAGTGAATTTGCAATGTGCGCCTTTCAAAGTTATCTGGTTTGGTGCCAAAGCTGAATACAGTACTCGAGATGAGGACTGACTCACTTTACAGAGCCCAGCATCCCATTTCTGTACTTATCCACTATCCTTTAGTGATTTTTGCGCACAAACCCACAAAATCCTATGCTCCTCAGTTGCTAGATTCTTGCATTCAAGAAAATATTCTGGTTTGACTTTCTTGAATCCAAAGTGGATGACGTTAGGACTTTGTTGCATGATACCCATCTGTCCCCACACATGCAATTCCTGTGCAGATCCATTTGTAACATTCTGTTTCTATCGATAGAAGTTATGGTGCATTCTAACTGTCATCTGAATGTTTTACTGTCCAAACCTCTTGATACATCCAAGTTATCCATGTATTAGCTGAAAGGTTGAAGTCCCAGTACAGATCACTTGGCAGCGTAATGTGCCAGATCTTGCTTCATTGAATGGTTTACCCGATAGCCCAGGTTACCTGCAATTTACTCCCTCAATTTTGCCAATAGTATGTGGTTTGATTTATTGTGCAGTAAAGGATTTGTAAGATTAAAGTATGTAAGGAACAATGTACTAAAGTTCTCATGAATCCATCAATTTTGTATTTTCTAATATCGAGTATTCAATTAGGATAGAACAATGCCATTATTTGGGTTGGAGATTCTGAGGAACAATTATTTTAGAATGCAAAAGTGATCAGAGATAACTTATTCTGCTTTGGGTTCCATTTAACCATAATTGATCTTGCGTTGGGTGTGGTGCCTTTGCACTAACATCTGCCCATTCCACAACCAACTAGCAAACAAAGGAAACTGGCACTATGATAGTTGGTGCTTGTGAGAAAATGAAATCTCAGCTCTTATAGACCAATTGGGTAATTTTACAACAATGTAATGGGTGGAGGCAAAGTGAACACCAGTTTGCTATACTAAGAAAAGGATGGTTTTATTTGGCTGAGAAAAGATGACTAGGTAAGCAGCAGTGCTATTTCAATCACAATCTTCTATATTCCATTTTAGTCATTTTGGAGTAGTCATCCTAATATTTATAAGCATTAAACTGGCAAGTTTTATTTGCATTTTGAAGTATCATTGTCATTTCATTTCATTTAACTAATATTCTCATTTCTTGTTTAACCATCTTTCATACATTTTGTGCTTCTGCAATCAGACTTGTATGTTTTTGGTAGGGCAAAGCAATATTAACCCTTTGATCACTGCAGTCACATTTCTGCACCACAATTTAGTTGGTTAGACTTTTTATTTCGCCCTGAAATTGCGGTGTATTATTTGGCTCCGTAGATATCACTGAAATTCAAATCTAAAAGATTCAATCAAAGGTGAGATTAAATTGATGGAAAGTTCTCATGTTGAGTTTAAACACCGCCATAGACCGCTTGGGCTGAATGGTCTGCTTCTTGTATTAAACCCTATATAATAAATTGTTCATTTAAGTTTTGCTATTTTAACATGCAAACGTTTCTTCAGTGTACTTTTGGAAGTATACACACTTAATAAGAAAGACATTCAGTACTCAGAGGGTTAACTGTAATGAAAATGCTATTCTCCAGTTTTGCAAAAATAACCCACTTTTCTTGAAGCATTTTATATATACACCATAAATGGATTTGTTTCATTTGATAAGTTCATATTCCCTGCTAGTTCACATAACCAGTCCTCATCTTTCCTCTCTTATCTCCTTAGCAACCTCTGGCCCTACCCTGCCTCTCTTTCTCCCACCATCTACCACCTCTGGCCTGAAGTTTCACCTTCCCCTAACCTTGTCCTGCCTCCTCCTCTTTCTCTGACTCACTAGAATCTCACCCTGCAGCTTCCCTGTCAATTCTTCCCATTTGTATGGATATCTCTGGGTTATTTTTGTGAAAATGTGGCAGTTCCTTTGCTGCAAAGTAGAACGTACGACTGAAATTTCAACTTTGGAAGATTTGACTTGATCATTCTGTTTTGTGTAAATTAAAAGCTAAAGTAAAAATAGTGATTAGAAATAGGTTTTGGTCCAAAGTGTATGTGATGTTTAATATGGAGGAATATTGGATCAAATTGTGACGGACCTGACTTTCATGAATGCAATCCAGAGTGTTTAAGCAATATTGTTGTTGTAAATATGTACATCATCGCCGTTCCAGCACATCATTGGACTTGAGTTCTAGTAAGATCTCTTTCTAAGTGGCATTGGTCTTCATATGATGAAAGACATTGGAAAAATAAGCAATTTGACTTTTAAATTAGATTTTACAAGTAGAGATAACTATTTTAAGACTGCAAGGCATTAACTTAGTGTTTTAATTTGGTAATGTTCAAGGTATCAGTTAGAAAGTCACTGTTTACAGTAGTACCATGTAAATGAGAAGTTCAGAAAAGTGTGAATACATTGTTTTCTTGCTCATTAGTTCAGTGTGCACTGAGCAGTAATTGGGTAAACTTAGCAGCAGCTGCACACAATCTAAACCAGATCTTTATTTTTATATATACATACAAAATAATCTCTACGTGGTTGCATAGAAAATTCATAGTACTAAAATGTGATGTTTCTTGTAGCTTTTTCCTGTTTGCCAAATATCCCTTTTGGCATTTTTTAAAGTGATATATGGTACACTGTATTGGTTCAATTGGTCTTCAAATGACTTATTAATTTTACAGATTTTCATTCTATTACTTACGACATGCAAACTTATAAAATATGAAATGCCTTGAACACATTTCTGAAAAATTGCATTTAATTATGCTTGCAAATTTAATTGTGCCAAATCATGCAATTTGCATTGGAAATGAGGCGTAGCAGCAAACTTCATAAGGCATTCAGTATTCCTCATAATTAATATAAGATGACAAGCAGTTGACCTTTTCTTTTACAGAACTGTTTTTAGTGCCTGCAATTATAGTCAGTTTTTAACCAATTGTTTTATTTGAAGGTTTGATTTGAGCTATATAAACTTAAACTAGTTAATATTCAATCATGTGCCCCTTTCATAAGTGAGCTGCTTCTTTCCACTTTAAAACCTGTTGATGTAAAGTGTAAACTAATTTAACTTTGGAGACTTTCAATTAAGCAAAATTCTAAAATGCAGTAGCACTTTTTTATTATTCACAAATAGTGTGGTTGACAAAATATTGGTCAAATATGCAAATGTTAGTAAGTCCCTTCACAAATGCAAAATTCTGTGGGTGCTAGAAATGTTCAGCACATCGACAACATCTGTGCAGAGAGAGAAGCAGAGTTAGTGTTACACATCTGCATTAGAACTGGAAAAATGTAGAAATGTATTAAATTTTGAACAAAATGGGGGTGAGAAGAATAACACAAAA